ACATCAAGAAGAACAAGAAAAAAAAAAAACAACATCAGATGGAATTCACGTTGCTTGGAAACTCGCTAATGAAGAGATTGGCTGGTTTTTGAGGAAGTTCCCTCTACCTCTTCCACTCAAGTGTTTAATTTGTTTCTAGAATGTAGATAAAAAACCTAGATTTGAAGAAAGAATTAAAAAAAGAAAAAAAAAGAAAGAAAGTAGAAATTGAGAAGTCGGTGAAAAAGGAAAATTTTTTGCTTTAGATTTAGAATGTAATGGAAATTAGAAAACAGATTTGAAAAAAGAAAGTTTTGTCAGAATCCATAGTGTCATCGGAGTCATTGGATAGAAGGAAGAAATGAAAGAAGAGTGAGAACTAGGAATGTGGGTTATGGTAAAAAGAGTAAAGAGATTAGGGGAAAAGATTTTTTTTATAATTAGAAAAACCATGAGAAAATTGTCACTAGGTGTGAAATTGCAATTGACTTTTGAATTGGATTTTATATTGTTATAAATATTTAAGAAAACTCATATATTTCAATCAAAGAATAAAAGTTTCAACACAATTTTAGAGTCAAGTTGCTAAAGTTATTATGTACATTTGCAATATTTATTAATTTTTTTTAAAAGAAAAAAAAATCACTACAAAGTTATCTCTTTAATTTGTATTTATATTTATTTATTTATAGCAGTAAATTCAAAACAGTATCTAGTATAATTTGACACCCTTTACATACATATTAATAACAAAACTAATATATATCCCACTACAAGATTGACAACCTTGGTGTTTGCTGTGATATCATTACTGATCCCACAAGCAATATAATCCAAATAAGATATGGCACAATGGGTTTAAATGACACATTTCCTTTCCATTCTTCATCTAAGCGTTTGAAGTTTGAAAGCATGGCTCTCTTCACCTTAGTTGTCTTATAATAAACTACAATGTGAAATTTGCAATGGACTCAGATAAATAATTTGAAGAAAAAAAAAGGTAAGGAAATGCCTTAGTAGACAACAATTGTAGCTGTGAGGTAGAACATTTTGATACTGATGATTATCTTAGCGAAGGTACTTTTTGCAACATTTATTTTTGTCAAATTGTATATATATTTGACTCAAAATTTAAATTTAAGATTTTCAACTTAAAATCTTAAATTCTTAACTACTTGATCTATCTGCTGGGGCCTTTATTGATATAATCAAGGCTTGATTTTGTTGATTTAGGTTGTATTTGGAATTGTTATAAAGTATTGTGATTATGATTTTTTTAGTATTTTACTATAAGAAAAATTATGTTATTATTTGATAATTATTTTGAAAAAAGTCTTCTAAATTAATATGAACACTAAATTATATAGAACATCAATTAAAATTAATTTAAGAAAATAATACATATCAATCTTGACTCTAAAATAAATTACAATCACAACCTTAAATAAAGTCATTTTATTTAATTAAAAACTAATTAAAAATTGAAAAATTCACTTATATTAATATATAGATTTAAAGACATACATTAGAATATATATATATAATTAGTTTCTAAATTCAAGAGTCAACATTTAATAAAATGAATTTTTAAATTTTGAATTAAATTTTAATTAAATAAAATGACCTTATTTAATGTTAAAATTCTAATTTTTCTAAATAGTTGGGATTGAAATGCACTTTTTTTTTTCAATTTAATTATAATAAATTGATACTTTTAAGAGATGCTTTATGAAAGACTACGTCAATATTTTTATTATTCTTCTTCTTCTTCTTTTTTGATCTTGTGGGAAAGCAACCTCAGTTTGTCTTCTTCTTCTTCTTCTTCTTCTTCGAACATGGATTTTGGTACTAAATCTTCTTTTAATGTAAACTTATAATTGGCTCTTCTTCTTCTTCTTCTTCTTCTTCTTCTTCTTATAATGTAAACTTATAATTGG